AAAGAAAGAAGGAAAGAGATTAGAATCTTTGCTCTACTTAGTTTTTACTTTCACTTTGTGGATTTTGAGTTTGATTGTTACTAGTTTCCATTGATTGTCACTGGCAACATTTCTGTTGTCTTATTCAACTAAAGCAGTTACATAAATTTAAAAAGCTCTTTACTTTAGAAAATTGCACTTTGTGTTACTATTTTGAAACGTTGTTATGAAGTATATCAATTATCTTTGTATTTAATATTATTCACCTAAAGTATCTCTGCCCAAACAATGTTATTTATCATGCTTACATCTAGCAATTTGTACTTTACTTGATATTTATTCATTTATTTGTGGTACTGGAAATTGAACCTAGGTCCTTGCACATGCTAATCAAGGACTCTACTTAATTGGTAATTTTTCCTTTTATTGAAAATAGATTTTCCTCCAACACAAGATATCCTAATTAGAATTTTTTCTCTCTCTATTACTCTGAGTTTCTCACCACTACTTCTGCCATTCAGATTCATACTTGGTGCTATTTTAAATGCAGCAAATGATATCAGATTATTTTTGATCTGATGTGTTTGTTACAAGAAACTAGTTGCACAGTTATCCTCAATGCAATATACATAAACAAATATGTATAAATCATTAATTATATTTCTTTGGATGCTTCTGAAAAATTTTATACCTCTTTTATTTTTTCTTTTACAATGCATATTTTTGCTGTTTATTTTTCATCAATATGTTGTTTCTCACTGATAAATAGTTCAAATACACACTATATACTATGATACACATTTCCTGTGCATCATTCAATGTAAACCACATAATTTTAGGACTAGCAAATACTGATTTATTTCATAAATAGCTTATAATTTGATCATCTAATCATCTAAGATCCTTTTTTAAAACCTTTTTTTTGGTTTGTTTTTAAAGGTTTCTGACTGTCCTGAAATTCACATTGTTAACCAGGCTGGTCTTGAATGCAGAGATTTGCCTGTCTGTGCGTCTCTATCGCTAGGATTAAAGGCATACATCACTGCCACTACCTTCTGGCTAATTATTAATTGTTAATTGTTTCTTAAGCTAATTTTTTAGTTGTTAGCTAATACTTGAAATCCATCTTAAACTTGATTACACTTAACCCTAGCAAATCTTTAGAAGAGCTATTCTTAGGCCTATTTCACAGTTGCAATACAATATTGTCTTACTAACAGAACTCTGTCAGGGCAAATTTGAAGTGTGCTCCTTGACATTCTAGTGATATAGAGGACAGAGTAATAAAGTATAAGGTACAGTCAACACCACTTGATAAAAATCAAATAGTTTGTCAAAGTCCCAATCAGCAGAGCAGTGAGAGTTCAGGGACCATATGTTAGAATCTTAGTGACCTGGAATGTTAAAGCCTGTGAGGCTTTTAGTTTTGCATTTGAGGACCTGACATATCTGGGACCATGCACTAAGTCATTTATTTTGTATTCTAGCTCCTCTGTGCAAAACCTCCCTGCATCATAATGACAATTCTTTCTCTTTTTTTGTTTTTATTCTAATATAGTGGGATGCATCCTGCTTTTGTCCCGGAGTTCAGCTCTTTGGCTTGGATTTATCTCGGGAACATTCGTCTTCAGTCTCCGATATAACTAGAAATCCAGCATGAGGAGATTTGTCTACTGCAAGGTGGTCCTGGCCACATCGCTGATGTGGGTCCTGGTTGATGTCTTCTTACTCCTGTACTTCAGCGAGTGTAATAAATGCGATGACAAGAAGGAGCGATCCCTGCTGCCTGCACTGAGGGGTGAGTGGTCATGGAGAAAAAGGTGCTGGTGCACAACAAAACAGGAAAGTCTCAGTAGATGAGATCTGTCTTACAGAGTTAGAAGAACATTTTAGCTGAACTGTTCATGCGTATTTAAAAGTGTGAAAGCTGTTATACTCATGAAGCCATAAGTGTCTTTTTGGAAGAAATGACAGTAGCTATCCAAACTCTAACATACCTTCCAATTTCTACCATCCCAGTATCCTCTGATGACTTATCAAGGATTATTTGAGGAATATTTAGATTAGGTAGAATTCCAAGTCTTTGCTTTAACAAGACAAATCATTTTTAAAGATCAAGCCCATAACATAAAGAAGGAAATACTAGAGCGAGAGAGGTGGGGACTGTAGACAGTTGGAGATAGATTTGATAAGACAGCTGCATAATTTCTAAAGCAGCTGCTGTAAGAGCCAGTTGTTAAGTCAAAATGCATTAATGACCACATTCGTTTCATAGGCTATTAGAATGTTAGCTCCAGGTTACAAGCAAAAATAATTTTAGGAATATTATAAAGTCACTTTACCTAATATTTTCTTTTTTAAGGACCAGTTTCAAAGACTAGACAGCAAAAAAATTATAAACAAATATGACAATTTATGTTAAATGGTGATTTTTTTTACGTAAGGAATGAGTTTAGGCGTCTGCAATTTTTTTATTCTGTTCTTTATGATATCAAAATCCAAAGTATATGTATTTCTCAAAGATTATAAATGTGAATTACAAAGTTCAAAATGTGCTCAAGGTTGTTCTATGCCTTGAATTATAATGGATTCTATGCTTAATAATAATATTTATAATATATACATATAAAATAAATGTTTACCTTTGAGTTTAAGATTGAACGTTTGAATCTATAAATTAAAATGTTATTTTTTTCATTTTTAATTGGTATAATATAATTTTAATGCAATAATTTATAGACCTTTAGTCAAAATACTATGATAAATGCAATTTAATTGGCACTGTTCGACTGGAGGAATCTTAGAAGGCATGGATTATTTCTGAAAATTAGTTTTAGTTCAGAGTGTTTTGGACATCTTGCTAAAATGGTCTTTCTCACTGGGAAAGATTATAAGTATCTTCCCCCTTTCAAAATGGGCCTGCCACTTTCGGTGTATAGATAGTTTATGTGTATTTTCAGCCCTTTTTCCACCATTATTCAGTGGGGAGGACCTTACGGGTTCACTTTTGATGAATGAACATGGAATGGATTTCCTGATGTTTGATGAAAACTCTAGAATCAGCTACTCAGCATCTTTGTTGGAGTCCTTGAACTGCTGCTTGACTGAAAGCAGAAGTGTGTTTGATGTATCGTGTCGGTGCAGAATGCTAACTTTAGCATTTGTGCAGAAGAGACATCTAGTTTGGTCACAGAGAAATACTATAGCCTAACTCAGCAAAATTAGAGTGGTCTTTTCTACAAGTACCAAAATCATGCAACTTTGCTGATTTATGCCTTTAGTTCAGACTTCTAAATCTCTGGATTTGAAATATGATTCTGTGAAGCAAAGTACTTTTTCTGGATCTTATTTTGAGAACATAGACTCAGTTGTAAGAAATTGTCATGGTCTTTTAGGATTTCCATAATAACACAGGCTTGTTGCTGCCCACACAATGGGGATTTGTTTTTTATGGTTTCAGAAACTAGAAAGTCTAAGATCAAGGTATTTGTAAAGTCTCCAGCAAACCCAGGTCAAATAGCTAAATGCAGAGCCAGTATTCTGGCCTTCAGTCTCTTTCTCTCTGCATCTCCAATACCTGTTGCAAAGTCCTGGTTCCTCAGCCATTTGTCCTGGGTTTATTTGAGACCTAATAGTACTGAATGATGTGGTGTCTTGGGATATCTATTTCTTATAAAAGGCAGTCTTCCTGCTAACCTCACAAGGCTGGTAGTTGAAGCATACCTAGGAAAGTTTTTTCTTTGCTGACATGACTCTGAAGTTTTAATAAAATTTTTAATAGTAAGCAATTTTTAGAAAGCATAGTTCATTATCAGCAATGATATTGAAGTGCTGTTTCAAAATCTGACTTGGGAAAAGGAAAGAATGTGGTATTCTAAATAGGAAGAGGGATGTGATAAATGCTGAAGTAGAAGGGGGTAAAATAACAGGACTTCTGAAAATGCCATAAAGATTCATGCTGTAAAGAATACACATTCAAATAAAAAGACAGAAAACAAACTATCATACATGTAAGCCTTTGCATAGGTATGTATAAATAGTTTAAACAAAATTTTTTCATCTGGGCTGACAATGTTTCTTCCAAGAGCCAAAGATTATTACCAAAGTACCAACATCAGGCATGAAATGCACTCTCTTGAGTTGTTGATGAAGGTTTTCCAGGAGACTCCCAAAACATTACAGGCTATTGCTTTGCTCTTGATTGACTCCCAAAGGTGGAAGGTAAGACCATATTGCTAAAGAAACCATGCACTTCAGACCCAGGATTCAGGGTCCTTGATCTGGAACTGGCCTGAAACCCTCCTACCTGAGGACTAGATTTCATGGTACTAAAAGCCTCCTAAGGAAGAAAGCAACTAACAGTTCATCCCAACTAAGATACCTATCAGCCACAGCAATGACCAGGATGACACAATAAACCAATGGCTACTCTAGGGGCATCCATACGAATGTCAAATAATACATGCATGAACTCTCAGCAACATGGCTGCCTAAAGAAAAACTGAATGAGGACAACAGCACTAAGCTTTATAAAGTGGATAGGGGAAAGGGCAGGAGGTCTCAACCCTAGATAAAAACTATAGGCAATTAACAAATGCTGAGAGCAGATAGTCTTTCCGAGGGAAGAGCATACCAATTGGTTATCTAACATAAAATGCTCAGCCCTAAAAGCAAAGATACAAGGAACACTATACAGACTGAGGATAGTGTATTCATATATTTAAGAATATATACATATACACATACAATTTTATGTAACAAAAATTAATGAAGAAAGACAGCATGGTTTGAAGAGATCAGGAAAATATATGGGATGGCTTAGAGGAAGAAAAAGGAAAGGGGAAATGATCTATTTATGTTAGAAGCTCAACAAGTAAAAAAAAATCACTAAATAAATGAAACAAATGATACTTTTTTTTTTTATTAAGTACTGGGCTGTGCCCTGAGTCATGGACAAATTCAGTCAAATGGCCTATGGTCTTAAACCATCACACATTCTAGCCTCCTAAATTAAGGCCCATTACAAAGTAGAAAGGAGTGACTGCTAACAGAAAAGCCTTTTTCACAATTGGAGGTCTTGAAGGAGGGGGGTTATCCTGCTGCATGAGAGTTGGGAGTGAAGTGAGTGCAGAAGGAATAAAGTAATTTTCAAAAATAAAGAGACATGAAATCTATAAGTGAGCTGATCATAACTCAACCTGATGTAAAAAGAATTACTGTATTCTACATTGAAAGCTAGGAGAAAGAAGAGAGTTTAAAAACTTTTGAGTGACTGGAAAGGAATCCTAACATGTCCTCAGGTGCAGTGGTGTTACTGAAATTTGTTAGAAAGTGTGTACTAATGATGCACAGACACTTAGAAGGATACAATCACATATACACTGCAATAGTCGTGACAGTTTTATCTTGATTTACATAATTAGTGATTTAAGATTTATCTATTTATAGAAGTATTCAAGTTAGATGGTAACTAATAGAATAATAACTCATTTAAGTTGTTCATGTTGCAAACTCTTAAGAACAAAAATGACTTCCTTACTGTAAAATTTAATTTTGATATTTTAAAAACTGGTTTCTTAGGTTCTAATTCACCACAGTATGTGTGTATATATCATATATGTACATTTTTATTCATAGGTTTACCTCTCTAAACTACTAAAATGCAATACTCATTTTCTTTTTTATTTACTTAAAATATAATTACATCACTACCTCACTCTTACTTATTCCATATCTACCTTCCACACTTCCTCTCAAAAATTCAAGGCCTCTTCTTTAACCCTATTGTTACATATAAGGGACTAGACATACCAATACAATCTGCTGAGTCTGTTTATTGTTGCTTGCATGTGTGTATTTCCCAGACTAATCATTTGCTATTGGGAAATCAATCAGGGATTCATTCCTGCGGCAAAGCAATTCTCCTCTTCCAGTAGACATCAATTGCTTATAGCTTTTCACATAGGGGTGAGGTCCCATGTGATTTCTCCCGTCTACATCAGGATGTTAATTGTTGAAATTGTTTGAATCTTCTTTAGGCAATCAAGTTGTTAGAATTTCATGAGTTTAGATTTTCCACAGAAAGTACAATCTCACAATGGACTTCCTGATCCTCTGACTCTTACAATCTCTACATCCCCTCTTCTAGAATGTGCTTTGAGCCTTAGATGCAAAAGTTATCTTGCAGTTCTTTCAGTTGGAGATGGGATTCCAGGGTTGCTTGCTCTCTGTGCTATGACTAGTTGTTAATTTCTTTAATCATCTCCTTCTATTACATATAGTAGCTTCTACAATGTGGGGGAGAGCTTATGAACACAAGGAGCTTGTGAGTCTAAGTGTTTAGAAGGCAGTAGAAAAATTATACTGGTTTAGTGAAGTAGTAACAGTAGATTGTCTTCTATGAGTCATGACGTCACTAGCCACAAATAGTTGGCTAGATTTCTAATAAATTTTGTTTAATATTAAGTAAGATCAGATAACACATTTAATCAACATTATTTGAGGGATGTTTTATATCAGTGCTATCGATAAAATCGTAACAAAGGAGACATTGTGTGTATATTTGTCTCATTGGTCAGGTGCCTATCACTAATGTGATCTTGACTTCATTCACTAGTTTCACAAAACGAGCCAACCTACCATACAGGCATCATAAACACTGAAATGACCAGAAGACATGTTCTTGTTTTCATGTGTATCAAGAAAAAGAGAAAAAAATATCATAATTGGAATGTCAGGATATCCATTCTATGTTATCAGGGGGATGTAGCATGTGTAAGGAGAAAGTAAAGAAAGTAA